AGATAGAATGCATAAGTATGAAGATTGTGTGTGAAGATTAATAATATCTAGCTTTTTAAGTATTCATTTATTTTAGTCTTTTGCTGAACTTATTGTGAAATTTAAAGGAAAATAGAAAATTTGTTCAAACAGTTTTAATTTTTTTTTAAGTGCATGCGTAATTAAAACACTTAATGTCATGATCCGCATCTTTACGGTCTTGAGGATGAATCAATCATTGCTTCATCTCCTAGCACAGGTCTTTGGTGGCAGTGGTAACCCAGTGGATGAGGTAAGATAGCCCTGATTTTAGGATCATGTTAGGCTCCATACATATTTATAGAAAAAAAAATCTAAATGTATCCTCGTTCTTTCGGTAAAGTCACATAGAAGGGAAACAATAAAAAACGCCACTTTTTTCAAATTTTCTTGCTGTGGTTTTCACACCTGATAATGATTGCTTGTGTTGCAGTCGAAACGTCGTGAGAATTTTATTGTTTTATATATTTTTTATTTTATTGTTTCCCTTCTACGTGGTGACTTTACTGAAAGAACCAAGAATATGAATCCCCTGCAGTCACGAAAGCTTTAAATCAGTTACATTTTGTTGACGGATTTATTTTTTTACCTCTCAAGCACTTGTGGTTGTGTCGACAAGATGTCTTGTAATTGGTGTCTATTTCGCGTTTGGACATCTGAACACCTCCATTTACGCCAGAAAGGGTATCCCTTCTTTCGTCAATAAAATTAAACTCGATACTTCATGTGTGAACTGTGCACCCTCTGAAATCATATACACTGGAGTTGATGCTGATGATGGCAATCATGGTGGTGATGGTCGCAGGGACTATTTAAAATAAAGTACATAACGACAGCATGTAAATAAATGATGCGATTGCAATATATACAGCATTTGGTGATTCATTGCGTGCAGGTATGTGGTGCCCTTACAAAGGAATTTGGCCATCTCAGATTTCTATTTTAATAATGTAATGGTCATGGTTGATTGAAATTTTGTGGAGCCCTAAATACTTAATCTTCCTGGCTCTCATTTTTAATTAAGGTATTATATTATATGTCTGACATGCAAATAGAGCTACGAATGGTCTTTGCATGGTAGACGGGGGATTTATATTTTCATTCCTATATTAAGAGATGTCTGTGTCCTCAATACATTCAACACAATAAGTGATCACAGACTGGCACAAAGCAGGCTTATCCTTCAAAATAGCCAAGGAGAGGGAATTCTAATTACGGGTAAAACCAAAACGGTTGACAAAAATATAGGGGAATTTTGTACTCGATTTTCCCAAAAGATTGATATTCCTAGAGCAACAAAATTACTTTAGATAATGAATTAACTGTCATATTAATGGAGAGTGCATTTAAAGTGGTGAGAAAGGTTAGAGAAGGTAACGAGCAAATCGTCTGATATCACAAAGGACACGTTGAGGAAAAGGTGAGCTATAACAAAATAAGTAATGGAATACGCAAAACTCGCTGGCAAACGATTCAGGGAAAAAATGAGAATATAAATCAGAGAACACAACAGAAACATGATTGCATATGCCATAGTAAGCAATGGGAGCATGAAGGCAGAAAAAAATTGGTTGGTGATTGGCAATTCACTAGTGGCGGCACAGAGGGAGAAAGGTAGAACGTATCTCGTAGATAAATAAAATGTTAAAATTAGTGGACGAATTTTACGTACATCTTAATAGCAAAAACATCATATAGTCCAGTAGGAATAAGACCGTCTCTCATTTGAAGAGCAGGAAGCTCCAGATTTCACACTTAAATAAGTAAACGATGCCCTTAGTAGCATGAAACACAGAGGACACTCCTGGCCCAGACGGTCCAGAAGCAGGACCAATTGATGGAACAAAATGAGCAGATTCCTTATTAAAATGTTGACAAAAAATAATGAAATACCACAATCGTGGAATGATGCCTCAGTTAGAAACCGATGAGTGAGTGGGTTGAAGCATTTCGGGAAAGCTGAACTTGGTTATGCGAATAAAAATATAAACAAACTGTCCAAAGAAGAATGTTTTTAATAAATATGTATTACCTGCTGCAACGTATATATAAGACACATGGACAGTGATGAAAAGGAGGATGGCCAGTGATGAAAAGAAGCATGGAGATGTATGCTTGGGATTACAATGAAATATAAATAAGGACACCTGGATTACAGAACATACACAAGTCTAAGACAACATTTTGAGTGTTACAAAAAGTAAGTGGATTTGGGCAGGACGCGTTACCAAAAGGAATGGTGGCCAGTGGATAAGAACAATGACAATAGCAGCCAAAGGATGGAATGCAACCATGGTTTCATCCCCTGTGGAGATGGAGGGATGAAATCACCTCGTTTGCAGGTGCTATATGGACCCTGAGAGACGGCAATAGTGTGGGGAGGCCTTCATCCATCCGTCGATTGATTATGGCTGATGATCATGGTGATGACTTGTGTTAAGGTTCCCAGCTACATCTGTTTTGATGTCTATCTGGAGTCATATGTTGGTTGTTGGGTTTTATAACTGTACAGAGCAGCATATGGTTAGGAATGCAAAACATGGATTCATATTCTGCATGAATAAAATTAACACATTTATCTCAACTTGCCAGATTGAGTTATATAAAGCAGTAAATGGTTTATGTGGAGCTGAGCTATGCATGTAAATCCTGTTTGTAGAATCTGGAAACCAATTGAAATTTCACAACTTTTAAATTGCATGCATTGATTGCATATGCATGTAGAATATTTTAAAAGTAACTTCATTACAATAGATGGATGTTGTGGTACTTATTGCTTGGCCTATTGTATGTACTGTATGTTGAACTTCTTTCGCACCGTACGTATTGTGCTCTTTATCAATGGTATAATGATGAATGTCGAAGTTGTTAAATATTCTTGATTGCTCTTCGACATACCAGTGTGCTGAATCGATACAAAAAAAACTGGTGCTTTTATTCCAGTGGCTGTGTCAGGTGGAGGGTGTAGGATGCAACATTTCCATTGTACTAATGCGCTCTGACCCAAATATCAATTATGAATCCTAATGTAATGACAATAGAGCCTGCATGCGGTGTGGGGGGACTAGTGGCCACGAGATGTAATGATAGGGAAGTCAGCCTACAGTACGAATGCACTAGTAGCCGCGGGAGGTATTGACAGGTGTATCAATTCTAGATTTGAAGCTTTCGTGACTGCAAGGATCCATACTCTTTGGTTCTATTCGGTAAAGTGACGTAGGTAAAAAAAATAAAACAACAAAAATCACGACGTTTCGGCCACAACACAAGCGGCCTTCATCAGGTGAAGGGACCAGACTGTCCCTTCACCTGAAAATCACGACGTTTGGCCGAAACGTCGTGATTTTTGTTGTTTTATTTTTTTTACCTACTACGTGACTTTACCGAATAGAACCAAAGAGTATAGGTGTATCACTTGTGAGTGCGAAGGGACTGGTGGCTACGGGAATGATGGAGAAGGGAGCGTGGTCAGGTGACGGAAGAGGACGGTAGAATCTGCTGGTGGAGCAGGGCGTCCAGAGTCAGCGAGAATGATCGAGAAGGGGGGCGTGGCCTCGGTTGGTATATAAGGGGGAGATGCGTGGGAGACTTCAGGGCTGTTGCAGTGGGGATCTCCGCCTGGTGTCAAGTGAACGCGTCTTCAATAAAGTGCCGTCTCCAGAGAAGTGTGTCCAGTCGTCATTACACTAACATTGGTCGCGAAAGGCGACGTGTTGAAGTTATACGAATGAAGGCTTTGAAAATTGTGAGACACTGGATTAATATGCTTGGATGGCTAATTATGTACAGTAAACATGAGGCAGAGACAGCTGTCTGAACCTTGCTTAAATGGTCAGCAGAGGCAATACCTGCAGGTGGCCTTAATTTGAAACTGTTGGCATTCACTGTCCTCCTGGTCTGTTTATAATTTATGGCTTTCACAAGCAAAAACGCAAGAAGTCAAATGTCTGAATGTAAAATGTGGATACAAAAGTGCATGTGTGATATATATTTAGCATTACTATACATAAACACTTAAATGTGTACAGGGTGATTTATTTATAGATGCCCATTCTAATATAATAAGCAGAGATTACTGTATAGAGAAAAGTAAATTTTATTCGAAAGCCTGTACACATCTACAAATCCTAATTCACTTAACAAAATAAGCAGGCATATTGTCCTATTTACGTTATTATTTTTATTCGCCACAATGGCACTCATGGTTATTTTTTTTAGTTAATACACTTGTTGAATATTTTAACACTCTCCTGATGCCTGCTACCACCTTACTGACAATCTCTGTTCCTCTGTAAAATATGAAGCCATCGCTTTCACAATACCTGCATTCAATCACCCGTCGAGAGGAAATAAAGTTGAGCGTTAGAATTCAGTGGGGCGTCTATAAATGGATCCCTTGCGTCCTCTTTCAATTTGGTGAATTTACTGTCAAGAAATGCCCTCAAACTCATGCTCGTCAAATACAAGCACTGCAACTGTGATTTGCAACTGTTTGGGTATTTTTGGCCTACTCTTCGACTGCCCAAATATCTTTGAAGAGGTGAGGAGTGACCACAATTTATGCCATCACATGCAAACTGCCAATTGACCAACTGGAATAGGTACCACACAACAACGTAAATCAATAGCTCAGAAAACTCCCCCAAAAAACGTGTTATTGAATACAATAAAATCTAAAGTAATTGCAACCATGTATTTCATCGGTAAAACTCAATCTGAGAAACAAATCAAACGCCTATTAATAGGAGTAAAGCGAAGTGAAGGAAATGTGCCATTTAAAACAATTCCAGTCTGACTTGTTTCTTTGAACATGCTGTTAGTTCGCTATCCACGTTTCTGACGTTTGTAGTCCCCCCACGTGTAACTTCAGTTCAGGATGGTGACTCCGATCGATTCATGACGATGACAACGACGACGAGGAAAACGACTCCGCTGATGGTAATCCATGCTTACGCCCAACCTCTGCCATCTCGCGTGCACAGGAGAACGTATCTCTTGCGGACATCTTGTCTCTGCTGGACAGCTGCTTGACCGAGACCGAGGTGTTGGCCGTGTGTCTGGAATGCTGCCTCGCCCTGCGCAGCATCGGGCACGCGGAGCTCTTCCGGAACCTGTGCATCACTCCCGACACGCTCGCTTTCAACACGCACGGCAACGTGTGCTTCATGGAGCAGCTCAGCGGTGAGGCCCCAGAGAGGTTCACGCCGCCAGCGGACTCGCCGTGTTAGGGCGGCCGTCCATAAGTGACGTCACGCACCTGGGGGGGCGGGGTCAGACGCTTGTGACGATGTGTGACGAAGGGGTTGGGGGAGGGGAGGGAGAAATGTGACGTCACGTCAAAATGCGCAACTTTAAATAAATATAGACAACACGTTCTACTTACATTATGAGACCTCCTTTGCCAGTAACAAGATATAGTAATAGTTTTTTTTGTGTGCCAGATAAAAGGGTAAAAACCTGTTACTACACGTTCTACTTAATTAATTAAATAGACTATTTAATAAATCTTTTCTCCTACAACTTCAGTGCAGCGCCACATTAAATATGCACTACAATGACTATAGTTTAAAGCGATTTGAAGCATGTTTCAATATATCTTTTGTTTTGGGGGGGGGGGGGGCAGAGCTTTGTGACGTCATATTTGAGGGGGGGGGGGGGGGTCTGACTTTTTGTGACGATCAAAGCAAAAGGAGTCACGGGCATCGCAGGTGTTGTGTTGTTATCGCTTTGCGCACCCGTGCGTTTTTGGAAGTGTTTTCGAGTAAACAAACTAACCGGGCGAAATTCAGTGGTGCATCATCATCATCATTAGCCCTGGTCCATCCGCTGGATGAAGGTCTCTCCCAAGCTGTCACCATCCCTCACATCCTCCGTTGTAATAGTCCAACCTAAACCTGCACACGAGCGGACTTCATCGCTCCTGCCTCTCGCTGCATACGTGTCCACTGCACGGCCGGATGAAGATTTTGTAGGCCCCCGGGCTACAGGTACTGTTGAGGCCCCCAGTAATATTTTCAAAAGGGAAACAAGGCTAACAACAAATAAAATTCAGCATTCACAAATGAAATTACTTTTCACTTCATCTCTGGAGGCCCTCCGGCTGGCGGAGGCTTCTGGGCTGCAGTCCCTAAATCCGGCCCTGTGTCACTGCCATTATTTTTGACCAGGGGGTCGGCAACCTGTGGATCCGGAGCCGCATGCGGCTCTTTCGGGACTGTGTCACGGCGTGATTTATAAAGGACCACCGTCTCGTGTTCACGTGCATTGGCGGCTCTTGAAATATTGAGGGTTTTTACCGATTTCGGAAAAAAATGCCTCTGTTATTTTGGTTGGTGACCTCCCCTTTTCTTTTTTGACCATCGGCTGTCGATGTATCCTGCCCAAATCCACTTTTCTTAACAGTTTTGAATTAAATTTTGATTTAAAGCTTTCGTGACTGCAGTAATTCATATTCTTAGTTTTTTCGGTAAAGTCACGTTGAAGAGAAACAACAAAATAACAAAATATATATAAAACAATAAAAAATTATCACGACGTTTCGACCATAACTCAAACGGTCATCATCAGGTGTGTCGGTTTGCATAAATTTATTTTGAAAACGGCATATTTATTTATATATATAAAAATAACGTTTGCGTCACGCGCAACGATGGCAGTTTGCCAGGACTAGTCCATCTATTTTTTTTTTTGAAAAGAGGAGGGGGGAGACGAAATTTGTTTTTATGTATGCTGTCTGAAAGGCACTGTAAGCGTGAACAATCAATCAAGAACTGAAATGATTTATCAAATCTTTCCAATGATTGACACCATTGCAATCATTGAAGACTTGGTTCATCAAGGACTAAACACTGAGGTACCCCCCCTGGTGAGACACTGTTTAACCAATACATACTTCACTTGGAATGGAACTTTCTACAAACAAACTGAGGGCACCCCAATGGGCTCCCCCCTTTCTCCAGTTATAGCTAACATTTTCATGGAGAAATTTGAGACTGACGCCATCCAGACTGCCACTCTGCGCCCAACCTTATGGAAGAGGTACGTGGATGACACTTTTGTCATCTGGCCACATGGCCGGCCTGCTCTAGACAAATTCTTCGACCACATCAATTCCATACACCCAGCCATCAGATTTACCATGGAAGTCGAAATAGATGGCAAGATACCTTTTTTGGATGTCCTAATTAAAAAGAGACCTGATGGTTCAATGAGCCACTCTGTCTACAGGAAAGCTACCCATACGGATGCTTATCTGAAACCGGATTCCCACCACCATCCATCACAGAAGAATTCTCTCATCAAGACTCTGTATCATAGAGCCCAATGCATATCCGACCAGGAACACATAAGCAGTGAACTCAAGCACGTACACCAAGCTCTTAGGGCTAATGGTTACTCCGACTATACAATCCGCAAAGCTATCACTCAAACCATGAAGAAGAACCCTCTTGAGGAGCCTTTCAAAACCATCACTTTACCCTACATTGCTGGGATCACAAAAAAGATCTCCAAAATCTTGAATAAACACAAGATCCAGGTCCGTTTCAACACATTACATAAAATCCGTGATCTGGTTCCAACTGTAAAAGATGTGATTCCGGACATACAATACCCTGGTGTCTACAAACTAAGTTGCCTCTGTGGTAGTAGTTACATTGGAGAAACCAAACGCCATATCTCGGACCGCATTCGTGAACATAAAGCAGACCTTAAACACGGTAGGACCAACACCTCGGCCGTAGCAGATCATTGTTCTAATTCAGTAGGCTCACATGCCATTGACTTTTCCAAGACGGAGGTTCTTTGTAAGCCATCTGGCTTCCATGAGAGATTCGTTCATGAGGCTATCCACATATACAAACACAGAGACAATTTCAACCGAGAAGATGGATTCTATCTTAGCAATCATTGGAAAGATTTGATAAATCATTTCAGTTCTTGATTGATTGTTCACGCTTACAGTGCCTTTCAGACAGCATACATAAAAACAAATTTCGTCTCCCCCCTCCTCTTTTCAAAAAAAAATAGATGGACTAGTCCTGGCAAACTGCCATCGTTGCGCGTGACGCAAACGTTATTTTTATATATATAAATAAATATGCCGTTTTCAAAATAAATTTATGCAAACCGACACACCTGATGATGACCGTTTGAGTTATGGTCGAAACGTCGTGAGAATTTTTTATTGTTTTATATATATTTTGTTATTTTGTTGTTTCTCTTCAACGTGACTTTACCGAAAAAACTAAGAATATAGTTTTGAATTACTTCGTTATCCTGCAAATGTTTTCTGATCCTCATGTTCTTTGTCTCTCAATGTAATTGCAAGCATGCATGTCTCCATGCTTTGTTGGGAATTGATACGTTTTTATGTTCCATTTTTGTTCATTCAAATTCAGTGTGAGGCTTTTTTGGCTTATTTTTACATTGTAGATGGCAATCACGCAACTCGGTAGGTGGAAAATGTTTAAGCAAAACGTTACATTAATTATATGATGACATTTTGGCCATGTTAACAATGAAATGTTCATTTATCACAGTTGGTAATCTCATCACCGAGTCAGCATTGCTTATTTCAAAACATGTTTAATTCATGTGCGCTTTGATGCGACATTCACACATATGTAGTGTGTTTTTCAACATTTTAATAGAAACATTGCCAATTGAGTGGCTGACCTCGTATGCACTCTGAGGAATGCAATTCAAGTTTACATGTGCCTCAGTGTTAGTAGGAAAGCTGATATCTTGTATAGGTAAAGGTGCAGCCCTTGCAATTGCCTGCTCACTACTGCACTACTGACAGAATGGCATCCCATAGAGAGAATTCTGGAGAGACCCTATAGGTGGTATTTGGCCTACTTCTTAACGCTGTTAAAGGGGTAGGAGCATGCACATTTTAGCCCAGCGCATGCACCCTGCCCAACGACTGACTGTGGTAGTATCCATTTATACAATACTGTACGTTTTAATAAACATGCCCATTGTTTGAACTTCCATGCCAGGAGAAAAAAAAACGGTGACCTTTGGACTGCAAGTCCTGTGTGCTGTTACACCATGGCAACACCCCTGATATAGTGCTAAACTAAACTATAAACTATTTTTATTTTACCAGGTAAGGCCCACTGATCTGTATAGCTCTTTTTCAGAAGCGACTTGACCACAAACGATAGCTCAACGAAGTGGCTTATCACGTGGACATGTATAGGACCCAAATACTCTAAACGCATCATTCTAAATGTGAGGCAAATACCGGAGGACCCGGATAAATATCCGCACGACTACGGGGAGAACATTCCAACTCCAAATATACAAGTGTCAGGGTTGGGATCGAACCCACGACCTCCTCGATATCAGGCGAGGGAAATAGCATCTCGCCATTGCGAGATAAGGTTAAAGGGTGCTGGATGTTGAGCAGTTATTGAGCATGTAACGATGCATTCATTCGTTGATTAACATCGACTCTTACACTCGTCATACATGCAATCACATCGCGCATGTAGGAATTAATTATTTTGACTCTTTAATGATTTACGCAATTGTTTTACATTATGCCTGCAGCCACTAGACGGGCATTCAACGGAATGGGGTAAAAAAAAATGCAATTCTTGAATAGAATCGTGACCCAGTATCACCATGACAATTCATACAATCGCGAGGGTGGCAATTGGATAACAAGCCTACGAGTAACAGCAGCGCTACCCTGTCAACTGAGCCATTCTTAAAAGTAGGACACACACGGAATTTAAATGCATACCCATTTTTTTTTAATGCGGAAGGATTTTAAAATTGTATTAAAGACATTATGTTGTGTGCTGGGGTGCTGTTTTTGTCACGTGTTTGCGTGTTGGTTTGTGACGCGGTGAAGTCATGCACTGGGTTGTGTTTTGGTGAAAAAGACTACAATAGTTTTATTCAAGTGAATGTAATATATCGAAGTACGGTATTCCCTCGTTATTTGCGAGGGATACGTTCTGGAGATGCATGTGAATAGCAGATTTCGCGGAAAATTATATTTGCTTACGAAAACACATTTTCTTAAAAAATTACCTTCAATAAATACACAAGTGAGATATTCAATACATACAAATTCTAATAATAACACATTTATTTATCTCATCACTTTCTTTCTCTCCCTCGATGCAGTCGTGTAGAGTTCCAGATGAAATTCGCGGATAGCCAAA